TCCAGTTGCCTTTTGAAAAAGCACCTTTGGGACAACCATGACCTCACTGACTGAGAACCTCCATAATAATTACAGCACAATTTTGAAACAGAGTGAGCAGTTGACTCAATTCTCTATGTTTGTTAGCTGAGACACCATTTGCCTTAGATGTTTTAATTTGAATTGCTGCACTGAGCAGGAATTTGGACACAGTGCTCTAAACAGTCCTTTCCAGCTCTATTAGAAGAGCCTTCTAATAAGGGATAGATAGATCCCCCTATCCCTTAAGGATCTTGATATCTGAATCCAAAATTATTCAAGATCTCCAGGCTAGGAATTGGGATCACTTGATTTAATGTTGCATCTTTTCTAACCAGTGCTGCTCAGATATATTAGGCCTACAACTGCCTAAAATGTCACCACCCTGGTCAATAAGCATGCTAGCTAGAAATTCTGGAAGACTCAATCTGGGGAAGACTATATGTACTTTATGCATATAATAGGAATATTAATTATCTCTTGCATTTATTATAAAATATTTAATTTTCAATGATAGCTATGCATTATTTACATTGGAAATATTTCTTTTAGGACTGTTTCTGGCTGCCAAATAAGAATTTCATAGAAAGGTGAAATTCTATCATATGGAAAATACCACCAATTTAAAGATTTAATATAAGAACACAATATTGTTTTGCTCCTTTCTGGTTATGCTTTAGTAAAGAAAATAAATAATTCAAAAATGTCTGAGTGGTTTCATCTTGATATTTTCGAAGAATATTTTTGCCAATCATTAAGAATCTCTTTGTCTTTGATACCCTTTAACTAGTTATCTTTATGTTATGTTTCAGTGTCCTATCAACTTTTACAATATATAATATTTCAAATTATGAGAAGCCAGTATCAACATGGTATTGGAAACATATATCTTGTTTACAGTAAAAATCCTGATCTTTAAGTTACATCTGGTCTACAGCAAATCCCAGCTGTTATTTTAAAGCTATTTTCCATGTCATTGCTAGAGATAATAACAATGTGATGGGGTATCATCTCAACCAGATAGAGAAAAAAATGTGTGATGGATTTGTAAACAACATTTTATCTTTATTCTCAGGAAGAAACACAGGAAAATTGTCACTGTTTTTGTTCACTGAAATATACAAGTATAATATCACAGAATTCATCTATTTTTGATGTTGCAACACATTCTGGCACCCCTTTACAAGCCAATGGACTGGAAGTAGCAAGTGAAAGTATAATACAACCTGGAATGATTCCAACATAATCATCTATGAACTCTATGAGGTGATTGATCAAATTGTGACAATTTTTTTCTGCAGACAAAATTATTTTTGAACCAGTCAGTCATTCCACTATTGCAATATGAACCAATGAACAGAATGGAAGCAAATGTTCCTTGTTTGTTCCCTGTGGGAATTGGTTCTGAACTGGTTCTCATTTTCTTCCCACTAGTTGAGATGGAAGAGTTCGCAGGCTGGTTAGAAAGGAGACAATAGCAAACCCTCTAAAGTTTATTCCACTTAAGATGCACACTTATCTGAGCATGTAATGTGTGGGACTATTCATATCTGACTTTGCTGAAGGTGGTACATGTGAAAGAAGAGATCATGATAAGTGATAATGGATGTTGCGGTCTTCCAACTTCCCCAATATGGATGCTACTGAGATAGGGAAAAAAAGGAGACAGTTGGGGCTTATTACTCTTTTTTCAAGAGTAATAAGTATTCAACCCAGGGGTGCTATTCAGCAGGTTCTGTCAGATTCTGGAGAACCGGTAGCGGAAATTTTGAGTAGTTCGGAGAACCGGCAAATATCATCTCTGGCTGGCCCCAGAGTGGGGTGGGAATGGAGATTTTGCAATAGCTTTCCCCTGGAGTGTGGTGGGAATGGAGATTTTGCAGTATCCTTCCCCTGCCATGCCCACCAAGCCACGCCCACAGAATCAGTAGTAAAAAAAATTGAATTCCACCACTGATTCAACCCCTAATTTTAAGGGTGCTCCCAACATACCAATCTAATTGGTTCAGTTTAGAGATTTTAAAATATGAAACATATGGATTAACTTTTCCAAAACTGAGGTATATCTGTACCAAAGGAAACTGAAAAAGCATGCAGGTAGATCTCAGCAATGAAAAAAAGGGATTCTCCTAAATATCACGCAGCCTATTTTTGTTTTTTGCTTCTAAAATTATTTGCAATGGATTACATTAGCTGCTATTAGAAGGATAATTATAGATTGGATGGCCCATCTATATCTCCATGCACTTATTCTGGTTTACAGTGATCTCCACAATCTCTTAAAAACAAAGGCCAATTTTTAGCTTGCTTTGGTTAGTATCAATGATATCCCAGGCTGAAAATTCTCAGTTACAAATGAATACATCCTTAAAGCAGAAGAAAAAAGCCTCACACAAAAAAAGCAAATACAGCAACTACAAAACAAAAGGAAAAAGTAGCTTTGTGTTGTAGGCTTTGCTGCTATCCCAGGGTATTTTTAGGTGTGCATAATAGCAATTGTTGATCCTATATAAGCACTTTTTATATGAAAAAAGGTAGATAGATAGATAGATAGATAGATAGATAGATAGATAGATAGATAGAAAAGCAGACAGACAGACAGACAGAGAGGTAGAGGTAGAGATAGATAGATAGATAGATAGATAGATAGATAGATAGATAGATAGATAGATAGATGTTATAGATATTATATATGTCAAATGTTTTCCTCAGCACACACAAAAAATGAATAGCAAATTAAATCGGTGGAATGTACATAACTTCTGCAACCATTCTAGGCTCCATGACTTTTTCATAACAGTCTTTGTACCTTTGTATCTTTTATTTGTTTCAGGAAACGTAAGTATAGACACATGGAACATAATTGGAAAACAAAGCATAAAGTGGTCTTTACAATTCCAGCAGATTTGTAGATTGAAGAGACAAAAACATTGAAAAAGTAATATAAAGTCTCCTTTTGATTAATGGTACAACTTGTAAATAGTCTATTCATGTGAGGTTTTTTTTTTTTTTTTTAAATCTCTCCATCTGATGAAAACCTCTCTGGAAGCGCTGTCAAGAATCCCTCTTCTCTCTGAAATGAGGGAGGCATGGAGGAGATAAAAGACCTTCTTGGTGATGGCCTCCATACTTGGAACTCCTGACTTGAGAACTAGATGAGGCTCTGGTCCTCATCGTTTTTAAATAAAATTTCAAGACGGTTTTATTACATCAGACTTTCAATGCTAGCTAAATGTAATTGGTGTCCAGCTTAGGGGAGGGTTACTTTATTATGGTGGGCTTCGGGTTATTTTTATAATTTTATGTGCTTGTTGTGTTTGTAATTTTAGATTTCTATAACCTGCCCAGAGTCTTTGGAGGTGGGTGAATGATAAAAGTGCAGAATAAATAAATCACAAAGGATTAAGAAGAATGGCAACTGCTACCTTTTGATCCCAGATGGATGAATTAAGCAAATCAACAACAACAACAACAAAACCCATCATTCCTTCTCCAGCCGGTGCTCTCCAAATATCCTAGACTTCCCTTCATACAACCTCCAGGCAGCTAATAAACGATGCTAGGGAGGATTAAGGAAATCCCGTCCACCTGGTAAGCATTAAGAGCAGGGGCAAAAGACCCCAACCTTTTCCTCTTCTAGCCTTTGACGAACAGCCAACCTGGTCCATACTCTACCTCGCCATCCTGGCTTTGGCACTTCTTTTGTTTTGCTCTGAGCAGGTTGCCGTTTCCACAACGCGCTGCCTCTGATGCCCCCCCCCCCACCCAACAAACCCGGTCCCCTCCTCCCGCACCTGCTCTTCTTCTGCTCCGGGGCTAATTAAACCAAAGGTGCCTAAAGGGAGCTCTCCCCTGGGTTGCGCTCAAGCCAAGAGCTGTGCTAGGAAACTCTGCTCGGAGCTGGGGGGGAGGGGGGGGCGATGTTCCAAAAAAAAAAAAAAAAAAAAAAGGCGCTACTGGATTTCCAGCTTCCAGGGGCGAGCGAGTTCCACGCTCTGCCTTGGCTCTTCTCCCCCTCAGTTTCCCTCCTGAGCCTCGCTCGGTGCCTTCGCCAGTCTTTGTGTGCGCAAAATCAGGACGGCGAGTAGCCCTCTAGGCTCTGGAGCCCCCCCCCTCGGTTTGGCGAGGCCGAGATGGAACTGTACGGCAAGGTAGGGGCTCTTTCCCCTCAGTTTAAAGTGGGAGGGGAGGAGGTCCAACAGCGATGAAACTACCCGAATCCCCTCACCCCCATCCACCCCCATCAAGGGGCCGCCTCGATAGGTCTACGCTAAGTGAAGAAACTCTGCTGGCGGCAGCTTTCCTACCCAATGAAGCGTCTTCCACCCGAAGGCGCCAGAATGGAAGGAAACCCATGGGGGGGGGGGGGGGGGGGAGGCGATGGAGGTTTAATCCGGTTAGAAAACGTGGGGAGTGGGCGAGATTCACTTCACCTCCGGCTAGTCTAATGGAGAAACCCCGGTTTTTTTTGGGGGGGGGGAGGTTGAAGGCTTTTTATTTTATTTATTTTTTATTTAATTTATTTAATTTATATACCGCCCTTCTCCCGAAGGACTCAGGGCGGTGAACAGCCATAATAAAAACAATGTACAAAACAGAATTTAAAAGCAGATTAAAAATAATTAAATCACAGGCCGAATTTAAAACTCTCATTTTAAAACCAGTTTTAAAACCCCATTAAAACCAAATTAAAATCATTTTTATCCCCCTTTTCCTCAGAAAGTTCAGCCAGCAGTAGCCCAAGCAAAGACTTGCCCAACAGCTGGGAAACTATAAAGCCGAGGAGACCCTTGTTTCCGTTTCCATGGAGCGATTACACTGGGGAGGGAATGAAAGGGCGAAGCGAAAGGCCCGCGAGCGTCCCTGGGAGACGTAGTTGTGGGGTAAGGAAAGCTCCTCTTCGATTGGGCAGCAGCCCTAGTCGGCTCTGACTACAATTCCCACAGATCGTTGCGAAGCTGGTTGCGGTGCGGGGGGGGGGGAGGAATGACACCGTGGACAGCTCCCGTGCTGATCGCTCTGCGCTGGATCCCTGGCGGAGCAGCGGCTGAGCGTGTCGTTCGCTGCTGTTGCTCCTGCCTTGAGCCGGGTGTATAGTCTGGCTTGGCTGTAAGGCTCGCTCTGCTGCTTGGATCCTTAGCGGTAGTAAATCCGCGAGGTGGAAGAAAGCGGAGAGAGGAAGAAAAGACGTGCGGTTGACAATGAGGCACGAAGGTGCTGTGCAGGTTAGTGGCACGTCAAAAGGGAACCGGGAATATTCCTCAAAAGGGACTTTTGGGCGCCTGCATTCACACGATCGGGGCGAAGGGACAGCGGCTAGGAGGGGAAGGGCTGCGGCGCCTGAAACAGGAACCGGTGGTTGAGTAATTCGGAGATCTAATTTGCAAACCGGAGGGAGAGGAAAGGACGGACGATACTCAGGCAAACATCACGTGTCAATTCCCATCGCAAACATCGTGTGTCAGTTTTCCCTTGCGTGTCTTTCTTCCTCAAACATTCTGATCCCTTCATTTGTTCTCTTTGGCCGACTAAGGAGGAGAGCGAGGCATTAACTCGGAGATTACGGACGAATTCAGAGCGTTGAGGACTAAATGCAATTTGATAGAACTGTCTTTCAGCTGGCAACTCCATTTGCAAAGGCTGATTCAGGGCAAGAACGGAACATCATCAGCGTTTTAACACCATAGAGGAGAGGGGATTCTACTCTTATTCTCTGTATATTGTATATCGATCCTTTCTTCCTTTCCTTCTTTCTTCCCTTCCTTCCCAACGTGAAGTCTCCAAATCCTTTAGGTAGCCACCCTAAATCATTGCCTAGGGAGTAACACTTGAACATATTAAGTCTAATTTCTGACTATATGTTATGCAAGATTCAATCAGTTATACATGTAGCCAAAAGGAAATCATATTGTGCTGAATGAGTCTTATAGGTAAGCATAATTTGCTATCTTAGTATTTTGTTAACATTATATATCGATGGACCTTTGATGAGTGATGGATCTGCTGCCAAATCTTGGCTGGAAAATTCTGGATGGCCACTAGATGGAAAAACAGTGTTCAGAGTTTCCATTATCTCTTTACTACTCTCTGGTGGTCATTTGAATATTACAGCACAACTCTACGCTTAAATCTTCCTAGAAGTCACTTTTGTATTTGAATTACTAAATTTTCAAAGCATTGTCTTTAATCATAGCTGCTTTGAGCTAGGGAAAAATTAAAATCTAATAAATATGGAGAAAAGGGTTATATTTTTAAAGAATCATTGCTACTCTTGAAGTAATAGCTTATTAAAATTGAGAATTAGTTTGATTCCCCTTCCCAGGAAAGTCTTGCTTTACTTTTAAGCACAAAATAAAGCTCCATCTTTGGAAATTGACAAAGCTGAGCATTTCTGCAGCCCAAAGATAAACTACATAATTTACTTTCTATCTACTCCCATTTGGAAGTAAAATCCATTGGGCCTAATGGGACTTCAGTGTAGATGTGTATAGGGAAGTTTTGTTAATTTCTGTAGTTTTATTGTATGGCTTGCCTTAGTAATTGTATCATACCTATTCACAAATATTGCTGTCTAGTAGAAATATTATGAGCTGCAGAATATTTACAAGGTTTTAATTTGGCAAATGGGCTTCCTTAGGGACTGTTCATCTAAGGTTAAATTTCAATTTTTTAATAGAATTATTTCTTGTTTACTGTCCCCCTACATAACGTTTCTGTAGGGTGTGTTTGACTTTGAAGTTGAACTGCAATAATTCATTCAGATCGATTGCTAATGTTATGTTACATGATGAAATCTATTTACCCCAGAAGTAATTATAAATATATCCATCTGCAAGAATTAAACTCAAAAGAACATAAACTCTTTACAAGTGAATATGTGTGTGTGTATAAAATATATCTTCATGTTGTTAGGCAATTTTTTTATTAAAAAAAAGCATTAGAACCCTATAGCTGGATAAAAATATTACATATTTTCATAGTAAAAATGAAAGTTATAGTCTTATTTTGCTTCTGGATTAGTTACAAGAATTGCATTTGTTCAGAAAACACATTGTTACATTATTATTTAGTTTTGAATAAATTTTGTAAACTTAGGTTCTAAACAAAATTATGGAGTTAAAGTAGAACATTGGTTTCACATGTCATTATCAATAACAGCAATGCTTTATATAGAACTCCCTGCTCTCTCTATATCCTATACACTTAAAAGACTCAGGTAAATTAATTGAAAATGGAGGAGAATCAAACAAGGTTAAGTAAAGAAGGATTCTATCATTTAAATTGCTCATAATTTAGTTTAGCTACAGTATGTATTGGGATGAGATTATCAAGCAAAAGCCTTCCAGGGGGAAAAAAAACTAATTTTAAGGTATCTTTTAAAGCAGAGGTCTCCAACCTTGGCAACTTTATGACTTGTGGACTTCAATTCCAGAATTCCTCAGCCAGCATGTACTTAATGACTGCCTGAGGAATTCTGGGAGTTGAAATCTACCAGTCATAAAATTGCCAAGGTTGGAGACTCCTGCTTTAAAGGAAATATGGAAGTAAATCAAGATTTAGAGGCAGCAACAATAGGGAAGAGTTTTTCGCTGAGCAGGATTGCTTTAGATCACTAATTACAGCAAAATTGGATATAGAAAGGATACTAAAGAAAACCAAAGAAGGATTTAGGAAGTGAAATCATAGCAATTTTTCAATAATTTTACCTCTGAGGCTTCCACCACTAGTTAGAAATTAAACAGTATAGCTAAGTAATATTCAACATTGGAATCAACAGTCTTATGGAAGGACCTTTTTCAGAAAACCCAATTCTTCTGTTTTTGAAGACCCATCTGTTGGTTTTGATGAAGGGGATCTTTTCTTCTATCTACACAAACGTCTTGCTGTCATGGCATTATGCAAAAAAAGTTTTTGCTGCTTCTCAAAGAAGCACAAGCACTGATTTTATATAAACCAGATGCAACAGCACTGTCAAAGCAAAGCTGCAGAAGATTGAAAGAGACTAATAATACAAATTTGCATGTCTGCTGTGTAATTATAATTAGAGAGTATCAAGGATTCTCAGAGATACCAAAAAAAATGCAATCATGCAAAGTACTTCTAATTAGCATCAAAACCTCTCCCTCCTCCCAGTCCTTCTGTTGAAAATTAGACCTATCAAAACAGCACAGTTCCAATTCAAGACTATCTAGTCCCACAACTGGAAAAATTGAGTCAATCTGCCCCAGAGTCCCAAAATAAAATAGAAGTATAGAAGTGGGTAGAATCAGGGGTGAAATCTAACATTTTTTGCTACTGGTTCTGTGGGCGGGACTTAATTAGTAGGCGGGGCTTGGTGGTAAGGTGACTGGGAGGGTGTGGCTTGTTGGTCAGGTGGCCGTGGCCAAGTCAATTTATTTATTTATTTTATTTATTAATTAAGTTTATATGCTGCCTCTCTCCGGAAAGGACTCAGGGTGGCTCACAGCAATAAAAACAGATAAATCAATATTAAGTGTTAAAAACCATTAAAACTCCCCTTAAAAACCCCTTCAGTCCAATCCAGCCTGGCGAATTAACCATGTCGTAAGGTCATGGTGGAAATAGCGCAGCTCAGGGGCCACCCGGAGCTGCAGGGGGAGTTGATTCCATAAGGTAGGTGGTAAGAATGTCACTTCTTTGCTCTTTTTTAACCTATAAAACACAACACAACACAACTGGCTCACCCACAATATAAAAGCAGCTGTGCTAGACCCAAAATGGCCCCTGCAACAAGCAGGAACCTCACACAGCCACAAAAAGCCCAAAAAAACAACTTTCACACTTTACACACACAAAATTCCACATACAGCTTTGTGAGATTTTGTGTGTTTGTGTAGTTAGAGTGAAACATTACAGAAACACACTAAATCTCAGAAAGCTGCACAAGTATTATTTTATTTTAATTTATTTTTATTTTTATATAAAAGCAGCTAAATTTAAAACTTCCTAAACTTAAATGGCTAGGTCTAAAAAAAGAACAACTAAAAAAAAACCCAATTAACTATTTTTTAAAAGCTCCCAAAGGGGGGAAAAACTTACCCAATAGAACAGGGGTCTCCAACTTGGCAACTTTAAGACTTGTAGACTTCAACTCCCAGAATTCCTCAGCCAGCTTTGCTTTGCTGGCTGAGGAATTCTGGGAGTTGAAGTCCACAACTCCCTGCCTGCTTGATTGCAGGCAGGGAGATTCAGTTGCTTACTGATGCAATGGATTGCAGGGATTGCAGCAAGGCGTTGTGACCAGCTGCTAAGGTAAGCAAGCTGAGGGGGGAAGGAGGAGGGATTTTTGCTACTGATTAGCAGGCAACTCAGTTGGGGTCGTCAGAGCTTGGATCGTCAGAGCCATTTAAAAGGAAAGAAGTTTTTTTCTTTTACATGGCTCTGGCGATCCCAGCTGAGTTGCCTGATTAGCAGGCAATTCAGCTGGGATCGTCAGAGCTTGGCTTGTCAGAGCCATTTAAAAGAAAAAAAAAGGCTTTGATGATTGCACGGCTCAGCTGGGCATGGAGGGCGAGGGCAGGGATTTTTGCTATCGCTTCTCCGAACTGCCCACCGCCATCGCTACCTACTCACCCAAGCCAGTCCGAACCGGGAGCATTTCACCCCTGGGTAGAATCAATCTGACCAACTGCTTTGCTTTGCTTTACAAGGTTTTCTCTGTGTGCACAGAAGGTGTGCAGAGGTCATTAAAATATCCACTTTGATTTGACAGTTTGCTTTGATAGTACTATTTGAAGTTTTATCAAACACTCTATTGAAGATCTGTCTAGCTGTACTGAATGTGTTGATAATTATTCAAGCTATTCCAGATTGTATTATGAGTTTGAATTTGGTTGGGATGCGGATTTCTCTTTTTTTTTCTGAAAAGAATCTTTTTTCCTTTTTTTTTTTTACAAAAAATCAAAGGCTGATTGGATTCATTTGATTTTGTCAAATGAGCCTCACTAAACCAATAGCTATTTACTCTCAGATGCAGAACTTGTGACTGGAATTTCTGTCGTTAAATCAGGCAGCCACTAAGTGAATTACATTCAATTTGATGACATTTTGGTGTGGTCATTAAGCAAATCACAATGAATCACATGGTCATTAAGTGAATCTGGAATCCCCCTCCAATTGACTTTGCTTGTTGGAAGTCAGCTGGGAAGGTTCCCAAATGGTGATCACAAAAGCCCAGAATCTGACGTAATCATTGTAAATATAT